GGGGGGTTGTTGAGGGTAAGGGTTGGGGGGAAAAGGGCAATTGGGAGGGAGGAAGGAAGGGAAGCCGTGTAGGGGAAAGGGGGAGCAGCTGGCTCTGATGATGCGACGCAATATGCGGGTATGTGCCGTCTTTCCTCTTCTCTCCTTCTTTCTCCGTTTCATCTGAGCATTGCCATCTGCCACTTGCGCGCCTTGAGAGGTTGGTTCTGCCCAAGTGTCACTACTTACCGTGCTGCTGGCCTTAGCTTTGGACTGCGGCCCAGCAACATTGTTTTATCTTTGGGGGTAACATTTGCCGCTGAGCTGATGTTCAGAGCAGCAGTTCTAGTCCACGTGGGCGTGCTGGAGAAAGACACGTTGGCTACATCAGGGTGAGCTCGGTTCGTATCTCTTTGGCTTTGATTCCTTCTGTCCTTTGTGATCCTCTCGAATGCCCCCCCCCCCCTTGCCCCTCCCCTCTCCTGTCCTCCCCGACCCCCTGACTGTTTTCCTCCCTTTGCCCGCTAAATCCTTTGCCGCGCCAGGGCGTTTTGCCGTAGTTGTCTCCCATTACCTTGTACCCCTCCCATGCATCGTTTTTTTTTTTTGTTTTTGTTTGTGTTTGGTTCTTTCAAACCGGGTTTTCCTTCGCTTGTCCTCCTTTCTTGCTCTCGTTAGGCATGGCTTACTTCCCTTGCAAACCGTCAAAAATACACCCTAATGCTTCATTCCCCTCCCCTTTTCTGATTTGTTATTGAATTCTTGAATGTTTTGCAAATTTTGGGATGTCTTCTGCTGTTCTGATGAGGCGAGGCTTTGACGGCACTGGGCCCATCGTCATTGCCTAGTCCTTCGCCCTCTGTCATATAAAGAGTGATTGAGTGATCTGTCCAGTGTGATCGATCCTCAGGAAGCGCGGATATAGAGAGCATATAGTTGTGGTGCTGATAGAGGCGGTTAGTATGTTGCCGGCTAATCGATTTGGTGAATAATTGCCGCCTCCCTCTCTTGTGTATCGATTTGACACGGCAGGCATAGTCGTGTGTCTCTTGAGGCTTGAGTAGTGTGGTGGGTTCGTTGTCATGTTCGTTTCTTGTGGTTTAGGGTTTTCGGGTTGCAGATGGGAAATGGGAGAACAGTTCGATGATCAGGGTGCGGGGGATCTCTCGGAGTTGAAGGATTTTGCCGAATAAGGGGGTAAAATACGAACGCAAAATGAAGAAGGGGACCATCCGGATCGGCAGAGAAGTGCCATGTCGTAGTTTTCCCCCGACAAAAGTAGTCGGTAGTATAGGAAGGACAAAAATAGTCGGTAGTATAGGAAGGACAAAAATAGTCGGTAGTATAGGAAGAATGTAGGGGGGATGGGGTGTGGGTGTGGAGTTGAAGTTACGTGGCCGTAATTCCGCGAGGCTGAAGGGGGGTTTCCACCATTAGGTTGTATGAAGGGTCGAAACACGAAGCGGAAATGTAAGAG